TGCGGGGGGGGGGAAGCGCCTGAGATGCGCTGAACTCGCTCCCTCGGAGCTTCCTTCTGGGCCCAGGTAGCCGCGACTTTCCCTGTCCTGGTGTCGTAGGATCCCTCTCCCACCGGGGGACCGACAACCGGCGCTAGGTGGGAAATGAGGAGGCAGGTGAGGGGTGCTGCTACTGCAGCGACGGCTGCGTTTTCCTCTCCACCAGGCAGCGAGTAAAGGCTGTGATGGCTCAGCAGGGTGTTGTGCTTCCTCGTTTTTTCACGGGAGGGGAACTTGCTTCTTGCATTTTATTTGAATTGCCGGAACCCGACAAGGCTTTATCCCTCCATACAAACACGCCCTGCCTGTTGCACGTGCCTTCCCTACAGTTGCCAGTTAGTTTCCTTTCTCTGGCTGATAACCCAGAGGATTCTGGACCACTTAAATAACTTTGGAAAACGAATAAATCTGTGGAGGTAGTAAAACATTTCCTCAGTCCTGCAATCTCAGAGGGTGATTTCCTGTCCTGCTCTAGCACATGGGGCCAAATGTGTAGCTATGCCGAACCTACTTTGTTGTCTCATCTCAAAAGATCAGTTTTCCTGGTTGTCCCGTTTAAGAATTTGACTTCGTACAGTTTTGTGCGTTATACTGCTTTGTTATTTTGCCGCTAACAAGAGGGGAAGTACAGTATTTGAATATATATATATTTCTGTAGAGTTACTAGGGGTACTGGAAACTTCTTGTTCTTGGTTCTGGGCACACTTTTTAGCTTGGAAAATTTCTAATAAATTTCTGAAGAGGCACAGTGTCTTATGTGAATCACATATGAAACATGTAGCATTTTTAAATGTGCAAGATAAATCTGTAATACTCTTTTTCAAAACAGCAGTCTCCCTCTTATTCTGTCAAACCATCATTTTAGAAAGTCTCCAGTTGGTAATGCTTTGTTTTAGAAAAATATGATGCAGAAAATTTGCTAGTATGGTATATTTCTTACAGCTTAAACTTTTGATCAACTCTGATTCTCAAGGGATAATCTGCTCCTGCTTTTAACATGTTCTCTTCTTAAACTCTCTTCCCTGTTTCTCATGAAAAATTTCCCAACCTAATATTCCCAGATGTGCTAGGATACAGCTACTATCATCACCATGATAGGAGATTTAGTCCTGCTGTTCTGGAGTTCACTGGGTTGGGCAAGGGTGATTTAATGCATTTAAAGCACTTTGTGCTTGTCACAGTATAACAGAATTCCTGAACAATACTTTGATTGTTCATTTCTGCTATTGAGGTTAAGAGAATAGGCAAAGGTTAAATATCTGGAAAATCCTCTTTGAGATTAGATGATAAACGGCACAGTTTATACTGAAATTGCTGAATCTTCTTCCTTGTGAATATGTTCTATATCCTGCCTGTGGGCTTTATATACAAGAGTTTCTGTATTTGAACACTGTTTAGAATCATGTCAGCTTCACTTGTGTTACATAAAGAAAAGTATGCTGGGGAAATCTTATTCCTGATGTTTTAGTTTATCTTTCACAAGAAACTATTTTTTAAGTATTAAACATTGCATTCCCACTTCTGGCCTGAAGTGATGTGGACCCAGAATTCTCTTCTTTGGCATGTCAGAGAAAGTTGCCTTAGTTAGGGATGTACTGATCATTTGTCATTTTGCATGATTGTCTAGATATTGGACATACTTGCATAATTCTGTTGTTTGTTTATTTATTTATTTATTTATATCCCGCCTATCTGGTCATGTCAGGACCACTCTAGGCGGCTAACAACATTAAAAAATACAATAAATAAACATATAAAAACAGTTTTACATAATACAAATATTAAACAGAATGGAAAAGCTATAGGAGAGGGGGAAGAGGGCATAAGGAGTTATCTGATGGGAAGGCCTGCATGTTTTTAATTGATTCTTGAAAATACCCAGCGAGGGAGCCATGCAAATCTCAGGAGGTAGGTTGTTCCAGAGGCGAGGAGCCACCGCCGAGAAGGCCCGATTTAAGGTAGTAAGATGCACTAGAATTTCCCCACTGAATCAGTTGATCCTCTGTAATTTCCATTGATTCAGTGGGTCTGTTTTAGTTGTAGCTCACCAGGCTAAGTAACAAGATGAAACCAATGCAGGCTCTTATGGATGAAACCAATGCCCTGGATCCATTTCAGTCGGGCTTCAGGCTGTGCCACGGCATGGAAACAGCATTAGTCGCCCTGTTTGATGACCTACTGAGGTCCTCCTCGATATCTCAGCTGCCTTTGATACCGTTGACTATGGTATTCTCCTGGGGAGGTTCTCCAAGTTGGGATTTGGTGGCCTGGCTCTTTCCTGGCTCTGTTCCTTCTTAGAGAACCGTCCCCAGAGAGTGCAGATTGGAGAGAGTTTCTCGGCCCCATGGAGCCTCAATTGTGGGGTTCCACAGGTCTCTGTTATGTCTTCAGTGCTGTTTAACATCTATATGAGGCCGCTTAGAAGGGTCATCAGGGGATGTGGGGCTTCGTGTCATCAGTACGCTGATGATACTCAGCTTTACATCTCCTTTTTTCCAACAACAGTGGATGCCGTTTCATCCCTTGAGTGCTGCTTGGGGGCTGTTCAGCAATGGATGCAGGTGAATGGATTGAGGCTGAATCCAGGCAAGACGGAGGTCCTTCAGGTGGGTGTCCCAGACATCAGTGGTCTGGGAAACTCTCCTTTCTTTGGGGTATGTGTGTGACTTTTACCACCAAGAGTGAGGTTCACAGTTTGGTTACACATCTGGACCCGGCGCTCACCATGGAGACCCAGGTGTCGTCAGTGGTCTGTCCAGTGCATTTCCACCTTTCGGCGGATTGCCCAGCTGCATCTCTATCTTAATGTGGGGACGCTCACCACTTTGGTCCATGTGCTCATAGTCTCAAAATTAGACTACTGTAATGCGCTGTATGTGGGGCTGCCTTTGAGATTGATGCGGAAACTTCAGATGGTCGCGTCCAGACTTCTAACTGGGGTGAAGAGGCACCAACATATTTCCCCCACGCTGGCTGCCTTGCATTGGTTGCCCATTCATTTCCGCATTGATTTCAAAGATCTTACGATTACTTATAAAGCCCTAAATGGTTTACGACCTCAATATCTGGCAGAGCGCCTTCTCCCACCCAGTCTGCCAGAGACAGGCCAAGGGGCCTAACGCAGAGGGAGGCCGGAAGGAAAGAATGAGGAATCGGGCCTTCCCAGCAGTGGCCCCGCACCTCTGGAACAACTTGGCCATAGAGATCCACCTGGCTCCCTCTCTGGGTGTCTTTAGAAGTAAACTTAATTTATTTATTTATTTATTTATTGGATTTATATTCCGCCCCATAGCGCTACAAGCACTCTCCGGGCGGTTTACAATTTTAATTATAAAGGCTACACATTGCCCCCCCAGCAAGCTGGGTACTCATTTTACCGACCTCGGAAGGATGGAAGGCTGAGTCAACCTTGAGCCGGCTACCTGGGATTTGAACCCCAGGTCGTGAGCACAGTTTTAGCTGCAGTACAGCGTTTTAACCACTGCGCCACGAGGCTCTTCTACCTAACGTTTCGCCAGTCTCTGTGGCCGGCATCTTCAGAGGACTTGAGTTAAGTCTCGATAGTCTGCGGCAACAACAATGTAATTCTTTATATATATTATATATTATATAACATTATATATATAATTTATTTTAAAAAATCAGAATACTGGCACCCATGGTACAAAAATGCCTAAGTAGTTATGTAGCACATCTTATATTTATATAAATAATAACAACAAATTGTCGTTGTACTATAAGAAAAGTGACTTTGTTCAGTGCAGTTGTAATGTAACAATAGGATTTCAGCCAATGCCTTTCTGCATGTAGTCTTAAAAACCCAACCCTTAACCAAAATATATGTTAAGCCTGGCACCCATGGTACAAAAATGCCTAAGTAGTTATGTAGC